CACACACACACACACACACACACACACACACACACACACACACACACACGCACACACACACACACACCTACCTATATGGGCCCTGACTAAGCTATAATAACTCTCAGAGCCGCTTTCTTAGTTGCAACATAAGAATGCTACATTGTACTAGGTCACACTGATCAGTAGTAATGATCTACTCATTGTCGGAAACAGCCATGAGCTGGCAGCATTTGCAGCAGGGAAGTACAAAGCTTTATGGGCCTACCATTGTGCCAATACAAACACGAATTGTTCTACAACAAAGTGGAAAATGAATGTCGAAAGTGGAAAATAATTTTTGTATTTTGCATAGATGGAATATGGCTGTTGACTCACTGGAAGCATGTAGTTGCCATGCAAAATATATTTTTGAGTGATATAAACATTGCTGTGTTTTCTCATAACTGTTTAATCACATAAGTGCTCGAAAGCAGACATGCTCCACCAGATAAGTACACCCAAAGGACAAGCCACTTCAGAGCTGGAATGATGACTTTGTGTATGTGTGTGTGTGTTTGTTTTTGTGTTTGTGAGTGTGTGTGTGTGGGCTGTGAACTCTTCTTGGTTGCGGTCTGAAGCAGATGTGAAAACTGCCTGATGCCTACTTGTTTACACCATATTTATTTGGTTGTAAGCCACCGACCTTCTCAGTTTGAAACAGAACAAGGCGACCAAAGACAGCCCACAGGGGACAGTGGGTGTGTGTGTTTATGTGGGGGGGTGAAGAGTGACACAGAGGTTGGGAGGAAACAAATACAATTTCTTCATGGGATAAAGAGCTTTACTTGATTTGTGTTGTGTGTCTACTGAAGAAACGTATGGTGCAATGTTAAGTAAGCTTTTATCCAAATAAGAAAAAATGGTTTGAAAAAAATGTCAAAATCAAAATACTTGCACAAAGTTTTACAAATGAAAACAGTATTCCTCGTCTATATATTGAGGTTGTAGGATTTACATTTACTGTTTTCATGCGTAAAAGTGGGTAAGTTGAGAGAAATAGAAAGTGAGTCCCATTTTCTTCTTGCACGATGATACGAGAGTGTGTAAGACAACAAAAGAATGGTTGTTTCATTTTGAAGAGTTTAAGTTCACTAACTTTGTCTAGAATGTGGGTAAAGAAGGTATGATGGACTACTTAGTCTTTCTTTTGACTTTTCTAATATGTGATAATCGTTTATTGTTGTAAACATAAAGGTCTGAACATCACAAATAAAATCTTTCTTAATTGGCTTCACTTTGGACTCTGTTGCATTGTTTAACATGTATGTGCTGCATTCTGGATCTGGTTTATATTAATCATTGGTGGCTGTATGTATGACAAATAACTAAAACAAACATCATCTTCATCAAGAAAAACAAGCAGAGAGAAGATAGAGCTGACATGATCAGTATGAACAAGATAGGATGAAGACAGAGGGAACAGACAGTAAACAGTGCAGGAGAGTAAAAGGGTCCAAAGAAATATGGATAGATTCTGAAAAAAAGGGAGGGAAAGTGAAACTAATGGGATACTAAAAACATTGTTTACTACCAAGGAGATCAGAGCCCGACTCATCAACATAACATTTCCCACCCTGCTGCCACTGAGAAGAGAGGCGAGATGGTGGAAATGTGAGAGAGGCCGATGAGTGGTAGGGAGGGCGGGTACGCAGTGAGTTATGGTCAAACACAGACCCAGGGGTTGAGACGTCCCAGGGCCAAGCTGCTGTTGCTTTTCTTGGACAGGCATCCTAAAACACGGACACAGTGATGGTGAAGGAGATTAGCGACTTCAAAGCCCGCTGCGAGCCAACAACTTAAAACTTAAACCACATTACAGAGCGGGCTTAAGATCTGATCTGTCCAAATAAAAGTTAACGTTAAAGGCGTACCCAGAATGATGAGGGTAGATTCCAGAGGTTAACGCACATGCATAGACACATATAGCAGGGTCGGGTGTGTGTGTGTGTGTGATTAGTGAAATGGATATCTCTGTACTTCTAAGCAGCATGTCTATCAGTAACTACAATTAGCCAGAGGTCATTGCCATGGCCGCCAGTGGTCCGTGACCACTTATAGCCCTCTGCTCCACTCCCCCCTCCCTTCTTTCTTTTCTCTCTTTCTCTGGATCCCTGAGAAGCAATAACTAACGTGTTGGCCTGCCGGCACGCAACACCAACCACAGAATCCTGATGAGCAAAATGTCTGTATCAAGTAGTCATCACAACATACAGATGTATGTGTGTGTCCGGGGAGGTCCGTATGGAGCAGATCTATTATGCGTCTCGAGCGGCTGACTTAAGTAATAGCCCTGCAGATCAGAGTAGCGGGTCCCCGTGGGAGTGATACATCACTCGAAAAACTCCTTGCATGTACACACACCCTGCCTCCAAAAAACACACACACAATCCGGCCTCGAGCCCAGTAAGCCCGCAACCCTTTTACTGTAAAAGTTAATGAGGCCTCCAGGCTTCTTCAGACCAGCAACACGAACAGATCTGGGCTGTGAAGACAGCAGCGAGACAGAGTGACTTAAATAAGTCAAACAGAGGGGATGAGTATGAAGACCCATCTGATGGTTATCATTAACCCTTTTCAGACCACAGGTCCCAGTATTCCCTGTTCAGGTAACAATGTTCAAGACAGGAAAGCTCAGTTTAAACTCACTTACAGACAGCGAGAGGAGTCAGGGCTGAAACATTGTCTTTATGTAAGAGGGAGGAGAGGGTTCATCCATGCAGGTATATGACGATCAGTTTGTCTGATGGTCTACCACTTTGGTCCAGACTGAAATATTTCAACAACTCTGGGATGGATTGGCCCAGACGCACCAAACCGACATCAAAGAACTAGCGGCGACGAAGGCTGACTGTTGCGTCTCCTCACGTCGCTTGTGTCTTGGCCAAAAAGTTGCACTTGAACATCCCGCAAAGATTATAGCCAACCACCAACTAGCAAGTACGTTCTGCACCTGCCTGAGAGGAGATTACTCTCCATACCAGCAGGTATAGCAGTAGTCTGTATTCGTCATTCAAAAAGGGAAACTGGAAGATCTAGGACTGTGGATGTACTGTTGTTACGATGAAACAAAGCAGCTTTTGCCTACCAGTCTCGCTCAACACTTAGCTTCAATCCAGATTGTAATGTTGTTAGTATATTGGATTGATCAGCTGAAAAGCTAATCAGATTGATTTCTCAGGGCAGACTAGTGCCAACGGTGCGGGACATAACTAGGGCCACAGACACTCACCGACTGCCTGACATGGTTCAGGGCCTTAATGGATGAAATTTCTGATTAGACATTAGAGGATGAAGCTAGACGACTTTGGTGATCCCCTGACATTTCCTCTGGCATTTTTTGTTTCAGTGGATTGTCTTTTTTATGTGTTGTCATAATTTTTGGTTCTGACATTCATGGTACCCAGAGGATGGACCCTTTCAGTAATTCCCTGTATTTTGCTCTAGTGCTACCAGCAGGTCAAAATGTTTACTTGTCCGGTGAAATAACTCAAGATCTACTAGAAGGATTGGCACCAATTTTGGTTGTGACATTAATGGCTCCCAGAGGATGAAGCCTAATCATCTTAGTGGTTCCCTGACTTATCATCGAGCAGTATAACATAATCCTCATCTGTAGTCCAGTGCATCAAATGTGCTTTGACTAGTTATTCATCCAGTAGGAATGGGGTTAGGTCAACATGGAAGCAAAACAAAGAACCGAAAAGTTGGAAGCACAAATTTAGGTACTTGTTTATTTTCTCTTTCTGTGTTGTCTGGTTTTGTAAATGTGGCAGCCGTCTGCAGCACATATGAACATGACATGAAAATATGTTAGCTCATGCCACAAATGTCTTCACACTTTGCCTGTGCATGTCAGAAGACTCGCAGATGTAAAAGTATGCTCCAGGATGAAGGCATTAGCAGTTCAACATAAAGCACATGAAGGAGAGAGACTTTAATTTGGACAGTGTGAAATCCAAACATTGAGATAGAGAACGTCATGGATTGATTTCTGTGAAGGCTGCGAACTAAGCGGAGAGTCCTGACCCCAACAGTACAGACGGCCTCAGAAGCCTCGAGTAGAGATGAGAGAGAGACTGACACACGGGGACACAAAGGGAGTGAGAAGAAAGGAAGCAGCAGAAAGGGGATGAAAGGGAATGTGAGAGAAAGAGGTAATGGCAGATTAGACGGGAACTGAGCAAGTGTAAAGGAGAGTGAAAGAGAAAGAACGCAGGAAGGGGGTGCGATTTGTCTGGCTCAGATGAGAGTCAATATTTGCTCCATTCCACCAATACTGTGCCAGGGTCCGGATCAAAGCAGGCATGTGTGCTCTGAAAAGGACGCAGAGAGCCAGAGAAGAAAACGGATAACATCTTTACAGTCCGAGAGGGAACCACAGAGATATTTTTCCACTAAAAGCCTTTTAGTTCTGTGAAACTGTAAGCACGGGCTATTGATGGAGCTCAGAAAAGAAAGATCATTAGTGATGAGAATAAAAATAAAAGGTTCAAAAGTGGTAAAAGACGAAGATAAGAGGATTGACGGGAGTAGCACTCTAATGAGGAGTTACAGTCGTCCCTGGCGAGACAACTCACCGAGCCCTTAGCGTGACTGCAGAGTATAGACTCTTATATTGACTACAGAGGCTCGTCTCATCAAATCAGCGCAGCTTTCCCCATATCTCAAATTATTCTGATTATCGTGATTATTACTGTTAGTGGTAGTAGCACTATTAAAAACGTGAAAATAGATTAAATTCCTTATTT